CAAGGCTTGCTGAGTTTCCCTGAGAAAGATAACAATACCCATCATGATGACACTGTTGGCTGTGAGACACCATGCTATGATAAACGTGTTTACTTTGCTGAAGACACTCCTTTACCACAAGCTCTAAATATAGACCACTGCCCCGCAATTTGAGCCCACACATACAGGATTCGTTCCAGTAGTTCCAATGAAGATTTTAGCAAAATGTGGGGATACCAATAATCTCTATATGGCAAAGAAAGTGGCGCGATCTTAGCTGTTTCCAGTATCCGTGCCCTTTGCAAGGTAATGTGGCAGCTCTTTCCCTCCTCTGAGCCCCCCTTGTGACGTGGTTTGGCTATAGATTGCAAGAAAAAAACATTGTGTGTCAGTTCTGAGCCTCATCTCAAGAAGCCCATGCACTTAGGCTCTATGTCAACACTCCAATCAGCCATTACTAGCTAGTCTTCTGCGGTGAAAAGCATGGGGGAGAGTGCAACTGTCTTAGTGACGATGGTCCTAGTCCAGCCAGCTCTAGCCAAAGAGTTGCTGACCCTGGATGCTTGAGTGACCCAGGACTTGAAGACTCACCTATTTGATTCCAGCCAAAATTCATCTGCAAATTTATGAGATAAACAGATAGTTTCTGTTTTAAGCTCTAATTTTGGGAGCAGTTTGTTTTGTAGCAGAAGCGTCTCAAGTCATCTTTTCCACATTTGCTCCAGTCCAGTCTGTATTCATACAACAATAGGGATGTTATTCTACGAATGTGATATCTTACTTCAATCTTTTCACTGTCTTCATTTGACAATTGGAATAAACTCCAATATCTCATAACACAGCCTGTAAGTGTCTGCATATTTTGCCTCTAGCCTTCATCTCCGGACTCCTACTGTGTTCTTCCTGCACAAATGCATTTTGTTCCTATAATGGGTTTCCTAGGAACCCAGCTTTTTCTAACTCTAAGATGTTTGCACAATTGATTTATCTTATATAATTTCCTGGCTGATTCCTTCTCAGTCTTCAAGTGTCAGCTTAAATGCTACTTGATCAAAGAAGCTTTCTCTGCCCCTCCTTCTAAATAGATATCTATGCTTATTAATTATTTTGTTGCATATTGCTAAATTGCCCTAGAAAAGATTATACCATTTTGACATCCTGTCAGTACCCTGAGAGTATATATTTATTTTCTTCATCACATTTAAATTGTCATCATTTTTAAAAGTAAAACTTGGTTTTTAATAAAATGCGACATTTTATTACAAACAAATTAGAAAACTATAGATTAATACGAGTTAAAATAGAAACCACCTATTAAATGTGGATCCAAAGGTAATCAAAGTTAAAGACCTAAATTCACTTTGTTTTTCAAATGAGGGCCAAACCATTAGGAAGCGGTGAAATCAGTCAAAAACATTTTTAACGAAACAGAATAGAGGGGGGAAAAAGAAAAAAGATAAGAAGCACCAATGGACCAAGTATAAATGTTGTTTTATAAAAATATCATTTTAGTTATAAATATGGTTATGAATATGTAAATTCATGTATACTTGTGTCCTATATTATGATTTAACATACATTGTGAATCACAGTTAACAAAAGGTATGTTCCCACTTGCTTCTTATTACCTCATTTCTCTGCTTTCATTGGTAATAAAACTCCATGAAGGAGTTGTCTGTACCTGAAACTTCTTATTTTTCTTTGATTCTTCTCTATTCAACTACTCAAGTCAAGCTTTTACTTCCACTAGTTCTTGCATACTTCTCTTACTACATGTAACAATGACCTCCAAGTGTCTAAATCCAAAGTCAATTTTCAGTCCTTATCTTACTTGACTACTTGCAGGATTTGACAAAGTCGATCACTTCTTCTTCCTTGATGTATTTTATTCATGTGGCTTTCAGGACTCATCCATCACTCCTTCTGAGTCACGTTTTCACTAGCTTTTACTGCTGCCTGTATTATTCGTTATTCTCTCTCCATATATCCACTTGACTAACTCACTTCATTTTGTTCAAGTCTTTGTTCAAATGTGACCTTCTAATGAGGTCCATTTATGACCATTTATTTAAAACTATGATCTCCCTACTCATACCAGACCCTCTTATCCTGCAAAGATATTTTTTCTATTTTAAACAAAACACAATTTCATATAATTTGTTATTTTTTTCTTATTTTAGTGTGTATTTTTAATATCTCCCCTTATCACGGTGTAAACTACATAAGGGCAGGGAATTTCTTTCAGTTGTATCACAGGCAACTAAAATAGTGCCTGGCATAGTACCCTTACAGGTGCTACATGAATAAAGAGATAGGTCATATAAGTGGGAGGCTAGCACCTTTTAAACTCAGCAATGTTTTAGAGCTAACTATAGAAATGTTTAATAGAATCAAAATTTATTATTTATATTTTGCACTAAGCAATTCATATATATTTAGTATTTTATGTATTTGCACTATTTAAGATAATTGACCTGCTAGAATACCAAATTTATGTTAAAATTCTTTTTTTTTCAATTAGTGGTGATTGTGCTTATATTAAACTCTTGATATGTGATAGGTTACAGAACACAAAATAATGTTCTTTTGAAAACTTGGAAAAGTGATTTGTATTTCTTTAAAGTTAAAATGCTTGGTACTTTCTTTTTTTAAATTTTTTAATTTTTTTCCTCCTTTTTCAGTTTTATTAGGTAGAATTATTACAGTTCGACTGCACATACACACTATATTGCATGTAAATACATATATACAGTATACTGTACTTTTCTTAGTTTTCGTATATGTACTAATTACTATTTCTAAGAACAGATTAGATCTTTGGCTTTTTAAACTCACATAGTTATGAAAGGAATAAAGCCAACTACAAAATAAGAATCAACAGAATGTGGTAATCCAATCATAAAGGAAAGTTAGATGTGCTTACACATATTCAAAAAACCAATCTTAGTTATAAATGATAAGTAGTTCATTTCTGTTCTTCTTCCTTGTTA